CAACCGTTACTTCCCTACTTAAAACCAATTTTGTAAAAGCCTGGAATAGGTGTTTCCCTCACATGGTATTACGCAAAGTGTGAAACAATATCTGGTTTGAGTTAAAATATTGCATTCCAAATGAAACAAAGGACAGAGCTTGTTTTAAGTGTTTTTCATTTAACAATGATAATAAAAATACCTTGCCAAGAGGTGAAGCATGGGTAATATATTAACTTAGAGGACAAAAAATGAGACTAAAAGTGGCTGTGGCTGTCACTAAATAACACTTCAGAGAGAATTATTCTTTTAACTGCCTGGAAGAAATTTTGCTTCTTGAATAAAAAGCTACTCTTTAAGTCATTAAGTAAATTTCAGAGAGATGATGTTAGGCAAACATATACTTCAATTGCCGAAGGAAGGTAATCAGTACTTGGCAAAAGCATACAGAAAGACACTTGGATCTCAGTGTCTCTTTTCTACTGGGGAGCACAAAGCTGGGCACTGCACCAACTGTGGGCTCACAAGTGCTAAATAGAGGGGCAGCATCAATTCCCTGCACCTGCAGGGTCTGTTCCTGCTAATACAGGTCCCTCTTGTCCTTCACACAAACCAAAACTGAACGCTTGGTGCTTTGCAGCAGTACAGTTAAGTGGAAACCCTCTTCGTTTTCTGTTATGAATTCAGTGGCTGGAGTTCAGATTTTGAACAACTAAGGGTATGATAGGAAGATGGTTATAATTTGTCATTCAGCATTAAGGAGTATTTTTTTGTTGATTTTGTTCTCTTTAAAATTAACTAAAGAATTATGTAAATGAAATCTCCAAAGTTAGAATGAAAATGAAATCTTCACTGAATGGTTCATTTTTAACATTCAGATAAACAGTATAAGCCAACAAGATTGCAATAAATTGTCTCTGGGTTTTTTGTTTGTTTGTTTTGATTTGTTTTGTTTTCCAGGACTTTAGCAATTGATTGTGAATTTTTGTTTTCTTTCTCTTCTTTTTGATAACTTGATTTGATCAGTCTGTGTGTATAATAAAATTCTAATCTGAAGAAACTTTTTCCCCTCATCTTACTGAAACATGGGTGCATCAGCTTGTCTTCATTTCTGAATACTTCAGCTGAGCATTATATTAAGACCTCAGTACTCACCCAAGTATAACAAGATCTGTATATGAGGCACGGTACTAGACCGTCCTGTGTTCGATACATCGATCATCCTGTGTTCCTGTGTGTATATACATATATATAGTATTTCACCTTTTTAACAGAAGAAAATTTCTGCTTTTTGTAATACCAGCTGTGTCACGTGACTTATAGAAGTGGGAGATCTCAAAAATCAGAAAATAGGAGAAAAGAGAGGCCTGGGTATTGGTTTTGTTCATATTAGAAAAGCATCCTGGGTAGAAAAATACCAGTGAAACTATGGTCTTATTCCACCTTGACAACTTATTTTTTTTGTGACATCCAGTTTTTGTGTTAGTATTGCTAATGTAGGCTCTATAAGGACAAAGCCAACCCCAGGCATTACTTGGATGTCACCAACTTCCCTTATTTCCCCATAAATACCCAGTTTGATTTCAAGCTGGGATGAATGAGATTCAGCATTTTGATCACAAACCGTAGTGTTTTTCAGCGCACCAGTCAGAATCATAGACCACCACTGGCTAAAATATCTACTGTGGATTTCAAAAATTTTGAAGTCATTTTTAAGTAAATGGTAGTGTAAAAAATTAATTCAAAGATTTTTGTCAACCTCACAGCAGGCAAATTAATACTCTGCACTAAAATTCAGCATAGAAGGTATCAGGTTCAGAAAGAATATATGGAAGCAAGATGTTCTAATAGAAATGTGCATTTAACCTTATATAAAACACTTGACATCATCAAAATCTGTGCTCTATTAAAAAATCCGTTGTTTTCATTCAGACTCCTTCAATCTCCTTCTCTTTATTTTCTTCTTCTGTCTCTATTTCTGCAGTATATTTTTATTGTTGGTAAAGCACACAGAGAGAAACAGCACCTGTTTTTCCCACCCATTGTCTGTGCATTTGTGCACTGGATTTTTGTTCTGCCACTTCTACCAAGAGCAGCAGTGAAAACCTAGCTCAGATCATGCGGTGGTACATGCTTTTTCAAGCTTAGCTACTGCTTGCCTATTCAAATAGCCAGAAGCCTGGCAGAGCAGAGCTGGCTTTATTTGTTGGGTCTTGTCTAGTGAAGTGAAAAGGGCTGATTTTTTATTATTATAATTATTATTATTTTTCTTCTCCTGACCGCATTTTTGCACATGTAGGGGTAGGGAATGAAATTATTCCTTTTGTCCTCTACTTGCAGCTCGTTGAGAAGCAGGCATGCATATAAAATTACTGTATTTCAGGGCTTACCTTTAGGGACAGGAGAGAGAAAAAGCAGATTTGTAAGCTTGTCTGGAAATACCGAGGATGCTGACAGCAGTCACAAAAGTAGGAGGTAATAGAATAATAAAACACATCGAATAGAGGACCAACAAAAACCTTTCAAATTAATATAATATCAGTTTAATTTTGTCCCTTGTAAGAAATACCACATACTGGATGGCAAAGGAGGCAAAAAACTGTTGTGTTGGTGTGTCCAAGACACAAGAGCATCAAAACACAGAAGCATAGGTTTGAAAAGTCAGCATGAAAAATACATAACAAATATCCATTGGGTTGGGTTTTTTTCACCCCCTAGAGATTAAAAATATACCTGGAATTAAAGAGAAGTTATCTTGAGGGGTGAACTTCAGTGATGGGGGGTGAAACACAGTCCTGTTTCTTGTTAGGCTTAGTTTACACCCAAGTGGATCAATGAATACTAACCTGCATCTTGGCTTTCAATGAGTTTTTGTACTACGTATTTTACGTAACTGTTTTGAAGATGGTAAAGCTACAGTCTCCTTCAGTTCTCCAGCTCGTGGTACCGTCTGTGAACTTTGCTTTGGGTAGCATTAATGATTCATATGATTTGCAGTGGTTTTAACTGCCAGGGAATATAAGCATTACTGTGACTTTTTTGTCATTTGAAGTGTAGGGTTTGGGCTTGCTGACCCCATAACCGGAATGTAGCTTCAGGGTGATTCACGTGTTCTGGTCTTTTACATGTTTAGGGTATTTTGGTTAGAGAATGGAGTGAGTTATGGAAGGAGGTTTTCAGAATAGGAACCAGATGCTGAAAATCATTTTGTTCGCAAAACTATTTTATATACTGAGTCTTAAACAGATGGGATTAATGGAATTTCTGGGATATACGGTACTATGGGTATAAATCAATATGTTCTTGATTCCTAAACTAATGGTTTGTTGAAGTTGCAAATGTTAAATATTAGATGTGAATATGCCTTAGATAGTTTACTGAATGAACTTGAAAACAAATAAAAAGAGTTCACAGAAATTAAACAAAGTCTAGTTTGGGAATCCATGGATTCCAATATGTTGCTCGTAATGGTTATTCTTCCGTACTACACGTGCAAACTCAGAAATGTGAAATGAAAAATTCACAGAAATTTATCAGATCTCTCCTTTGACCTCTAACCTATTAATTAACCTATTAAAATCTTAGAAAAAAATCTGGAAACGTTTTGATTTAAATTAGAAGATATTTGAGGGGTCTACAGAGACACAGATGCCATTTTACAAATTTCCAACTTTTATTTGAACAAAGCTGTTGGTGGTGTTTTATATGCGTATAAAGTGTCTAGCTGCTTTTCCTACAAAAAATTACACAACTAACAGAATTTGAATGCTACTTTGAAACTTAACAGCAAACTGAAGAATCTGAACCGTGACCTCTGAGATAAGTTTAGAAATCGTTTAACTTCACTGTAGTGTCTTTCATGCAGTTTTTCATTCCAAAGTCTGTACTTAGCTGATCTAATTTAAAAGGGATTAAAAATGTTCATCTGCTGTATAAACTGTTGTAAAGGGAAGAGTAGGGCTGGGGAGAAGCTATGAAAGCTGAAAATTATAAAAGACAATGAAAGCAAAAAAGCTGATTCTTGTAATAGAATAATTTTCACTTGGCTGGAAGGCACAGCTGCAAAAGCTGCCTGCTGGATAAGGATCCAATAGGCATTGAAATTTGTATTTTGGTTAATAGTGTATACTTCTAACAATTTAATCAATGTTGAGTACTACTTTACCCTTAGACTGAGAGTGAAGACTAGCTGCCTTTAAGTAAGGATGGCAAAATTTGCTTTTTAGTATATTTGGTTTGAGGATGAGAGAGATGCCAAGATGTGGCTGTCTCCAGTCCATGAAAATGTGCATACCATATAAAACATATTACGGTTTATTGCCCTGATAAATAGTATTCAATTTCTCCATATTTTCACAATTTATCAATACATGTATTGATTTTTTTTTTAAGTATAATCTGGTACTGCAAAGTATACTGTAAGAAGTTACGTTTTCAATTAATAGACATGTTAAATGGTTTCCAGTGATCTTTTGTATGCAGTGTATCTTGCATTCCCTTTTGGTATTCAGAGTATCTTCTGCTTTAATTTTCAGTAGAAGTGATCTTATTCACACAGAGAAAGATTTGATCTGCTGAATTCATATGCTTTGATTTGCAGCTTGGTAGTATCAACTGAGCTTTATAGAAAGCTCTGTTCAGTTTCTACAGTAAATAATCTGCATGAAATTTTTATTTAATACTTATGGAGAAAAGTTGGGAAAATAAATATTTTACATTCAGTTTTAAACTGTATGTGCAGAAAAGCTGATTTCATAGTGAACAAAAAAATGTACTATTTTATTCCTGTTTCAGTATTTAAAAAATTTTATGCAGCTTTGTACTGTTTGTGATGAGTGTACGTCATTTCAAAACAAAGTCTGTTTCTTTAATTGTTTCTTGAAGTACCAAGAATATTCATTAATCACAAGCAAGAAAAAAATAAAAATTATTCTCCTCACTGTTGCATTGTGCATGTCTTTTTGTGAACTTAATTAAAATACTCAATCTCAAATTTATGTTTTATTTTTTCATACCTTCAGAACCAACCTACATCACAATAGGACCACCCACCTGTGAGGTTTTGGTGAACTGCACTTTGACTGAAAAAGACTGTATCTATAGCTTCAAACTGGACCAAAATGGTTGCCGAATTTGTCAGTGCAAAACTAGTGAGTATGCAAAAATATATGTGAAAATGCTAGTATGCTTGTGTTTTGCATTCATATTGTTGATTATATGTTGTGTTAGCATGCATGTACTTTATAGTTGTTCATCTTTAAACAATAGGTTCCTGATTTCTGATATTGCGTCTTTGCTTGCTTAAAATGTATTTAGAGTAAAACATGAATTGTCTGACTTTAGGCAAAAATTAACAGCTAGGTAGAAAAGGTAATAATTTGAGACTTAATATTCATTCAGACTTTGAGAAGTCTGATAAGACTTACACATTTCATTTTCCTCTGTGTATGTGAAGAGTGTAAGAACATTTGGATTTGTGAACTGCAAAAACTGTTGCTAAACAGCCTATTTTCCACTTACCTTTTTTTCCTTAAAACTTAGAATTTGAGGATAAATATTTGAAATTTATATGCCTGGAGAGCATATATCCACATATAATTTTATTTCTATAATGCATTCTTATTTTTTTAAAAAAATATATTATATAATACTTTAGTTAGGATTTATGCAGGCTTTAACATCCATTTCTTCCCCAAGGAAAATCATTGTGCCTTGTGAGAACTTTGTGTGTATCAGTAAAGCAGCAAAAATGTATTTTCTGTATCTATTTCCTTAAGAGTGACAATTTTACTGATGAAATCCAAAGCAGGGTCAGGTTGGTTGCTGGGGTTTTCCAGCAAATGACACCTGTGGAGTATTAGTCTCAGATGCACGATGCATCACTCTGGCTGCCAACCCAGCATAAGAGTGGGTTTAAAGTGTAATTTTATTGTAGTTCTGCAGCTTCCTTGTAGCCTTTGTAGCTTTCACAACTAAAGTATTACTCCATTCCTCTTTTGATTTCAGTCTGCCTGTTCTCAGACACTTTCTAAGCCAATATGACTACTTTAGGGGTCACCCTAAATGGTTGAAATAAAACTCTTAACTGCTACAAACTAAAGAGTTTTAGGATTGGATTGGTGTTTGCTTAAGGAGCAAGAAAAGGGTTTGTCCTGGCTTTCTAAACTTTTTTCCTGGGAAAATGTGCATTTTTTCTTTCCATAAGGTAAAGGACAGCACATCTTAATAACAAGTAAATACATGGCGAGCAGTAATGTCATTATGGTAATAGTAACATGGAAATAATACCTTTGATTATAAGTAGTATTCGTGGCAAGGGTGACTTCCCATAGATTGTATCCAAGCTATCACATAAATGCCTTACTTAGTTCTTCTTAAGGACAAAATTAGAAATGTTAAGTTCTGCTTTTAACACTGTAATTTGATTTTCCTTCTTTTTTTATTGTTGTTAAATTGATTGGAGAGTTTGACACAAACAAGAAGATGGACAACTTCATCTATGCCTGTGCATGCAGTTCTTTCCCTCCAGTTTGGTGCACAGGAGACCCATCACTCCAAAGGATGGTTTCTTTTGTCCTAGATTACCAGACTGCACACATACACATACCACATCCCAGGAAGTCTCTGTTCTTGCTTGGAGTATTTCTGATTAAATAGTGCTTAAGAACCTATTCAAGGGAATTTTTCTCTTCCCAGATTTGCTTCAAATTATTTTCATTTTGCAGTAGCAAACTGTCTGGAGCAAACTTAATAGTATCATTTGACTATCATCTTTTTTCAGTTAAATAACTTGAATTGTAGATATCTTAAAAATCTCTTTAGTCATTCAGAGAGGAGAGCCTTTATTTTCTCAAGAAGTTAATAAAAATAACAGCTTGGAAATCTTCACCACTTGGTGGTTATCAGTCAAAATGACAGAAATAGAATTTTTCTGTCAAGTAATATCTCTAGCTTGCAAGGCTCTGGACAAATGAGTGTGATTACTGAAAAGAAAGAGTTTTATGTCAAATATGCTGAAAATGTACTGCACTAGTTCTCTGCGTTTTGAGATCCTATGTATTTTCATGTTCAAACCAGCTTAGTTGCATCTTGGCTCTCTAAAGAATGTGAGGATGTGTATTGTCTTTGTCTAAGGTAGAGTCGTGTGGATTTTGGGGAACATCACTATCTTTATACTGCACCCACTTGTTTCTTGTTGGTGTAAACTGCTTGACAGAGTCAGATTTAAAGTGCCTGAGTAAAGGAGGCCCACGTGCCCCCCATTACCATTTGAAATCATCATATCCTAATTCTACAAATCTCTTTCCAATAAAGTTTCCTTTTTTGCTAATTTCTCTTTAGATATCTCTGCTGACAATTCATCATACTTCAATCTATTTCAGATAAAATAAAAGCAAAATGATGAAGTGGAAGAACATAGAGTAAAGCCATAAATTGTTTCTTATTATGACCTTCATTTACATTCCTGTAGCCAGAAATCAGTACAACAGGTTTATTTTTTCATTTGAAGTAATTACCTAAGTAACATATAATGTAATTTGTTTGGTGCTTTATTGCAATTTATTTTCAAGTTTATCCAACTTGACTCAAGCCAACTACAGAACGAGAAGAAAGAATCAAATCATAACATTTCTAGAATATATTTCTAGATTTTGATAGTTGTTTACTTTATCCTTCTTCCTGTTGTGGCAGCGAACACAAAAATGTGCTGTAATAATGCACAGTATATATTAAAAAAAAAAAAAACCCCAAACAAAACCAAACCAAAACCAGAGGCAGACCATGGTTGTAAGAGAAGGGAGGAAAAAACTACCACTGAGCAAAGAGTGAGTGAGTAGAGATGGAACCACAAATGATGAGGAAGAAAAAAGGATGATCATACTGACCGGGAATAAATAAGAGCCAAACCAGCCCTACATGGGGATAAAAAGAAAAAAGTATAATCTACAATATAGGAAGAACCACTACAAACACCAAGAGTAAAACTAGAATGGTAGGAAAAACATGAAATACATTACAAAAAAAAAAGTAAGATGGTAGAAGATGATACAAGAACAAGGAACAAATAGAAAAAAAGACAAATAAGCAAAAAATTTGTTACTTTGTAGAGTACAGCAGTTGGTATTCTGTTTGGAGTGTCTCGGCCTTTGCTTTCATAGAGAGAACTGAAGTGAATTAAAGTCTTTAGGAGGAGGAGTAATTCAGGGAAGCAAACAAGACCAGTGATTGGCTATTTGTGAGGCAGGATTTCTGTTGCTCCAAAGACAACTAACAGGCATATTGAATAATGCCTGCTGATTGCAGTAACATGGGATTTAAAACCTGATACTTGCTGCTGGGCACTAAATCACTCTTCAGTGAGAGTCTGCAATGAGGGCCAGTATTTTTATCTGGCCTTGTCTATTCCCTGTGTTATAGTCATGAAGAAGAAAAAGCCTTTAAAATCTCTCCTGCAACTTAGACTATAGCATTTGCCCCCAAATGAATTGAACGTGAAGAACTGTTCAGAGTGTAACTGTGGGCATGTATGGCTTTAGTATTTTTTAACCTTTCAAATCTTACTAAAATGTAATTAAATTAGAGCACTCTGTCAATTTTGTAAGTTGTTCGCTTCATTTAGAAGGCTTACCTTTGCAGTTACAAGTTGACTGCTTATGGAGAGACAGAGTTGTAGAAGGCTGAGATGAGTTGTTTTCCCTGCACATCATAGTGCACCATCATCCACTTTGTGTGGTGATCTCTTTTTTTCTGTCAAAGCAAATAATGAAATCACTATTAAAAATTAGAAATCTTGACATTATATGTTTTTGCACATTTCTCTAGACATAAAACCACTCCTATCCCCCAAACACATTTTATATAGATACAGAAATATTTTTGGAAGAGTGTTGATACCTTTTCCTTAAATGAGAAGAAAATGTATCCTACCATGGAGTTAAAAAGGAGGTACTATCATTCACTCTTTACTAGCAGACATCTGCAGCATGGACTTCAATATTCTGGTGAGTCACACCATCTCTCTTTATAGCAGAGAGGAATTCTAATGTGGGGTTGGGAGTGTGGAACTTGGTTTAGTTGTGGAGACGTTCAAAGGCAGGATTGGAAGGTTTGAGAAAAGTTAGGTAGGTGCATCTATGGGCTGTCTATAAATAGCAGCACTTGAGGCTCTGAAAGGGTATATAGATTGATGATGGGAAAAAGCCGAAAAAGAAAAACTTTGCAGGGACTCCAGTGGGAGAACACATCTCAACTCCTCTTTTCTGTGTGTTAATCCTTCCATAGTTAAAGTTTGGGATTGGTTTTCTAACCTTTCAATCTTCCTAGCAAAATTTGAATATTTCATTCCTTTATTCTTGTAAATAATCCATACAGGGATGTGTTCTGAACATTTCAAAACTCCCTCAGACTAAATTTTATCTATTTAAATAAAAATATTTTATGTTTATTTTGATATAAAATTAAGGTGGGACAAAAAATCACAAGCACTAATCACACAAAGTGTATGCTTCAGACAATGCAAAATTCCTGGAAATAGTAAAGTAAAATATAAATTAGGTAACAATTTTCTATTTTAGTAACAATTATTTCTCATTATTACCTTAATTTAGCAACAAATTCCATGGGAAAAAAAAAAATCTAAAAACAAAGATAGTCCAGGTAGTCTTTGTGCAAGAAGGCTGTGTCTTGGATTTTTTAATATTTTGTAGACCTGGCAGAAAAAAGATGTTTTATTGTCCTCCTGCAGTGATGTGAAAAGGAATAGCTGTTATATATTAGACCTCAGTTAGTGAAATAGAGCCATCAAAAATTGAGGGTGAAGCATGTTTCTTAAAAAGTTAAGGCTTAGATCAGAAAAAAGTACAATTTCTAAGTAGAATAAAAATATTAACTCTAAGTACACATGTGGAAGATAATGGAAGTGCTCCCTGAAGAGAATGGAATTATTAACTAGTCATCCTAAATAAAAATTATGTCTTCTCACTGGAATAAAAGTCTTTATCGGGAATCTCTGAAGATTACAACAATGTATTTGTTTTAGTAATGCTTACACGATATCTAATGCGATAGAAGCAGATAAGAACTTCGCTTGACTTGTGGAAAAAAAGAAAAAAAAAAAACACAAAATAATGTACTGCTAGAAAGTTTGTGG